ACAAAAAGATAATCGCGATACATTATTGCATAAATATATATAGAAAATTTCAGAGTCGAAACGATATATATATTTCTTTGCGCTCGCGCGGCGTATATATCCGATTTTTAGTGTTTCATTTTTTATTTCCTTTTATTATCTTTTTGTTATTATTTTTCGCGGGGGTCCAGGTCTTCTCTATCTGGATTCACTGTAGAAACCTACTTAAGCGCGTGTGTTTGCAGAATAAAGAAAGTAATTGCTCAAGAAACGGCAAGACTCATATCGTGAAGAATAGTGTAATAATTAGTCAGTTGTCTGTGGAGATCAGCCGAGAAAGCGAGCTCTCAAATACTTCTCTCATAGAAACTGAAAGTACTGGGAGAAATAGCCCAAGTTTTAAGTAACTACACTAGAGTTCTTTACTTTCCTTTGCCACAAGTGAGGGTTGTGACAGTAAGTAGGACATGACACAATACATATTACTCCAAAGGTTACTATGCCAGATGCCTATAATTTAATTTGCGTATAAAAAGAAGTGAGCGAATAAAATGTTCAATCCTAAGTATGTCATTTACTTATCATTATTAAGGCATAAAAGGAGCTCAAGCTTACCTGGGATGGTGACGTACTTGAAAACTGGCTTAATTTTACGACAAAGAGGGAATTCGCTAGAGCCTAAAATAAAACGTTCATCTATGACTCATATCCTATAAATCACATTGTTATGAATTATAAACCGAAAATATTTTCACCCTGCAAATCACCTTGATAGATCTGATATTACTGATTTTAATGCATAAACTCTTCTCGCTTAAATCTGTTTAACCTAAGCCCATTTCTATTATCAAACACTATAATATAATCACTAATTGAATGAGCTTATCAAAGTAAAATTGATCAGATCATCTAAATTTATTACCACAACCAAAGTTGATCGTGAGATCTTTAATTGCAGCTGAGAATATCTTTTATCAATTAAGTATCTTAGAAGGGACAAATTCGATAAAAGTAACTTTACAAAATCTTTCTTTCTCCAATTAACTCGGTCATAAATAGCGAATATTTTAATGCACTACAAAAATTACTCAAAGTTAGGAAGGAGCTAATAGAAACAGATTTCAATAATTTTTGCCTAGATTTTCATTGTAAGCCTAAGTGAAGCGTTTCGTCTTTAACTGTAAATTATATTATTCTTCATCAGTTAATCAATATCACAATTTCTTAATTTGATCGAATTCTATCTGAATAGTAATTGTATTTAAGCTAAATTTATCTTATCTTAAAACTGCTTCCACCCAACTTTAGTAGCTTATAGGTGTGAAAAGGTAAACCGTTAACGAACGACTGTACTGTTTTAATCCATAATATTTGAAATAGCAATACTTACGAAAAATCCCATAAGCGATGGATCAATCAGAGCGGCACTCAAGTTTATACGGTCTAACTTTAAAGTATTTCCAGCAAAAATAATAATACCACTAGCTAAACTAGATAAAAGCAAATGCAATCAGAAGATAACTATAAATCTTTCCTGAACGCATAGCTGGATTGAAGTTAATTCAATGGAATACGATAAAACTAAGTCGATAATTATGAGCAGGGAAATGAAATAGAACGCGAGATTATAGCTGGAAAAATAATTGATGACGCGGGCAGATCCATAAAATAGTTGGCTATGACATCATTTCTTTGCGATCTTATTGGTCAGCATTGTTGATGTTCTAAATTGATTACAATAGGTAACATGATGGCGGACAATAGCTTCATTGGTACTCAAGCCAGAACCCTATCATCTGCAAATATCATGACCAGTACTATGTACAAATCAAGAATAATCTAATTTAATAGCCATATATACGTATACATTTATAATCGTTTCAATTCTTAGAATACTTATCAATTTCTCAGGTACAATTGTCTGTTTATCTCGGATATTATCATTTGATATATACGGCGTTCGCTATCAATGTTATAGTCTAGCATAAAAATGAGTTGTGTTGTGCACTTGTGAGCTCCACCACAGTCGTTGTATCTCAAGCTCTGCTAGCTTAGTAATCCATCGATATCAAGTTGAGCAGCTACAATCTAGAGTTATTTGCAATTTATGGAGTGTTTTAACTAATTATATTAATCGCGTGTTTGAAATTATTACTATACTATACAAGTAATACCATGCTTTCTGTAGTGTATTTAGAATATACTGGAACTATATTCTACTCTTAAATATAGACACATTGTATTGATCTTATATTTAGACATATATACAGTCTGTTCGCTCTACATTCAAATATGGCTTACTACATTTAGTTATTACAGTCCTCGCTATTTTCTACAATCATCTGCTATTCTATAACCTGTTATGGTATATGTTGTATCTAATCCTACAATCATGTTCTCTGCATGTGTTCTAATGCCATAGCTATAAATACTGCCGTTTTCTACCTTAGATTTCTTAAGTTGCATTATTAGTCACAGTTAGTATTCACACTTTACTCACGGCAGCTACCACGCTGACCTACCGTAATTATCACACTGTACCTAACTACAATCTACAATAAAGTATCTTCTTTTCTTAAGCTCCTTGTGTAATTCTCTGTATGGCAACTAAAACCACATTATCTGACTCTTCGAACCCTCCATCACACTTTCAAATCTCGTAGCTAGTGTAATCAACTAAAGTTTTTACAATTAAAGTTACATTGTAGAATTTTGTACTCTCCCATAGCTTTCGGACTTCTTATATTACGGTAGAAAATAGTAAAGAACTGCATTATGCAGATTCTGGTGTAACTGCAGGTAACTACTTTAGTCTATCTAGTTTTCACCGTTTAATACGAGTATTATCATACTTTCAAATTCCATAATGTCAGCAGTAATTAATCGAAGCCTCTACAGTTATGCTGTAGATTTCACAACTTGTCTATTTTATATCATTATAGCTATTAAACTTGATATATTAGGTCCTTGCTGTAAATACTAAAAGTTTGCCATTATCAGGAGAATCAGTAACTATCACTAGTTTCTTAGACAAAACTAAACCTAAGTTTTATTAAAGTATCAGTCAATTTAAAGTAACTATTCATACAACCATTAATTATAAATATTAATACCTTAATAGTATTGTAAAACTGTGCACTTATTCATAAAAATGTAAAACATTATGGATCTCGGTATTCTCAAAATATACCTAAGTATACGTATTACTTATTAGAGAATAAGATAAGCATTCATTAGTAATAGTCACTGGATGACTATCCTTTTACGCTATAATCTCTTACTTTAGTTGCAGGAATTAATACAGTAAGTGTAGGGCCTCTTGTACTTGTTAATAATACAATATTGATAATTTAGCGTAATAGGTTACTGTAGCCAGTTCAATTATTGCAACTTATCAATTTTCATAAATTTGCATCAAATATGGAAGACTACCCGGAACTTTAACCCCAAATCAAGTAGATGCTCGCATAGAAGATTGTACATTTTATAGTATTTATTATAAACATGATCGAATATCACAAATGGCTTCCAATGGACGTATAGTAACTAATATCAAAATCGTTACATTATTTTGTTAGTTTAAATGAATAGTAAGCGAGAAAGTTGCTTGGTGCTACGGGGTATTTAACCAACCATGCCACTTGTAACTAGAGCAGTCATCGATTGCTCCCTTAGTAACTTAAAAAATTTCTGTTACTCCTACATCTAAACTGGGGTTTAGCGTAAGGGAGACTAGGGAAGATAACAGAAATCTAATTACAAGAAATGTTTACTCAAATACCTCTATCATTTTTACTTTTTAATTCAAATATTCTTTTGTTTAAGCTGCAGTAATATAATTGAGAAAAGGAGTAGATCTTGAATTTTCTACCCAGGCTAAATCAAAGGAAACAGCTTGCCATTGACTAATGAAGTATGAAATATTATGAGCAGTTACCTCTATTAAACTTTTCAGTAAACCTTTGATGTTCAATTTAAAACAGGAAACTATGTACTGTACGAAGTGATATTAGCAATAAATGCTGCATGCATCAGTTATAACACTCAGTTATCACTTGTTATAAATGATTAGATCAATTTCGTAAGAGAAACTATTGTATAAAATACAACATATTCTATGAGCATGAATCATATACCAAATAAGTAACACAGTTATAAGTACTTTTGCAAAATTATATTTTATTAAAAATGCGTAGGCTTTCATGGATAAAAAATAAACTAGTATGATACTTCTTATACTTGAAATGATATTGCAAATTTTTAACACCATCACTGATGTAAATCCTGCAAATATATTCTTATAGCTACTTAAGCTGATTGACATAGTTGATGGGGACATAATACAGCAAATTTGCTTTCAGTTTTAATTTCAGCTTAGTTTGTAATTAGATTATTCTGTTATCACTGACTACAAGTATCAAATCTTCTCAACTACTCTGGAAGCCTAAACGCTAATTGCATTTCCAATTTAGTCCACTAGCAGCTACCAAAATTGTGTTATCCAACTGAAAGCTAATAGATTGCTGCTTATATCTAAACAATTTACAAATAATAAGAACATCATTATAAAAATCGTGAAAACAATATTGTACATTATTACGTTGGACTTAAATGATTTAGATAAAGGGAACTCAATGCGGAGCTTAATTAATCTAAGTTATTTTGCAATTTTTGTAGCTAGGAAGATTTTTCTAAAATTTCTTGTTAGATAACTTCTCTTGATATAAGTTTAAAAGGCTAGACTTATAGACTTTAACTATGTTTTATCTTGCAATAGAGCAAAGTTAAGACGCTTTATATCTGTAAGACAAACACTCTTTGAGTTTGTCGATTTAGGTCTAAGAAGTAATTAAGTATAAAATTCACTTTTTTTGATGTGAACTAAGTAAGCTAATGCCGCTTGTAGTCTTTACTTCTAAATACGGTATAGCCTATTCTTAGTAAAAGTAAATTTCTACTAGACCGTAGCTTAACTCCTTATTTGTGTAATCTATACTTAATGATTCACCCTCAGTGTGAATGATAGAATATGTAAAATTCAATCAGTTTTTAGTTCTGTATATATAAGTTATCTTATCGTAAAGTTTAATACATCAGGCATACTGTAATATTACAGTATTCGATAGTCATAATATTCAAGATATCACAATAAAGTATAAAATTTAACTTTGCAAATATCAAGAAAACAAATCGCATATTCTTATAAAACTGTTTGAAACTTACGCGCTGTAATGGAAGTAATCGTTGTAGCCATAGTGTCAGCATCATACAGTGTAAATAATATAAAATGTAAAATTCAATCAGTTCTTAGTTCTGTATATAAAAGTTATCTTATCGTAAAGTTTAATACATCAGGCATACTGTAATATTATAGTATTTGATAGTCACAATATTCAAGATATCGCAATAAAGTAAAAAATTATTCAATTTTGCAAATATCAAGAAAACAAATCGCATATTCTTATAAAACTGTTTGAAACTTACGCGCTGTAATAGAAGTTTTCGTCGCAGTCACAGTGTTAGCATCATACAGTGTAAATAATATAAAATGTAAAATTCAATCAGTTCTTAGCTTGTATATAGACGTTATCTTATTGTAAAGTTTAATACATTATACACGTTACGATATTATAGTGTTAAATAGTTTATAATATTCAAGATATCGCAATAAAGTAAAAAATTTAACTTTGCAAATATCAAGAAAACAAATCGCATATTCTTATAAAACTGTTTGAAACTTACGCGCTGTAATAGAAGTTATCGTCACAGTCACAGTGTTAGTTTCATAAAGCGTAAATGATAGAAAATGTAAAATTCAATCAGTTCTTAGTTCTGTATCTAAAATTTATCTTATAGTAAATTGAATGCATCATAAACGTTACGATATTATAGTATTCAAGATATTGCAATAAAGTAAAAAATTATTTAGTTTTGCAAATATCAAGAAAACAAGTCGCATATTCTTATAAAACTGTTTGAAACTTACGCGCTGTAATAGAAGTTATCGTCGCAGTCACAGTGTTAGCATCATACAATGTAAATAATAGAAAATGTAAAATTCAATCAGTTTTTTGCTTTGTATATAAAAGTTATCTTATCGTAAAGCTAAATACATTATACACGTTACGATATTATAGTGTTAAATAGTTTATAGCATTCAAGATATCGTAATAAAGTAAAAAATTATTTAATTTTGTAAATATCAAGAAAACAAATCGCATATTCTTTTGCATTCAAATATTACATATGATTGAATATAGCCCAAGGCAGAGCATAACTGAATAAAAGAAATACGATGCTACACGGATAATGTGACTTTAGTGACCGATAATATGTAGAGTACTATCTGCAATATATCTATCAGATAGATACTTAGCTATCTTTCAGTGTACCTAGATATAAGATCTACGACTTACTTATAATACTAAACAAAAGAGATTAAAAAATAGTAAGCACTGTTGCTTAAGTATTAATAGGTTTCCTCAATATTTTATTTATAACATCTATCTAATCTAATTTCTAACCAATTTCTTCTCTAGAACATTCAAATTTTCCTACGAATTTGGCCAAGTTGTTTTAAAGTGCATGAAATTAGAAAAAGTGTGATAGATTGTCAAAAATTCTATAATTATAAGCTCAAATAGTTACTGTTGGAGTATTTAAAGTATCCTTCGTTTAACTATCCAAAATCATCTATACAATGCTATAAAATATTCTAACAGGGCAATCTATTTTAAAATACGAGTAAAAGTATCTACTGTAACATATTATACTATAACTAAAATTACATATCATAAACATTGCAGCAGGCTATTGTTAAAGATATAACGAAGCATAAATGCGTGCAATACAAAGTAAGTATTACAAATCGTCTCTTACGATATTAGCTTACAAAGAGAAGATCAACGATTTTAAATGATTTTTGTATATTATACGGCCAATTATTTTAGGTTCAGTATTCTGATAAATTTTGATGTCAACTGTATTTAGGACTAGCGGAATCCGTGTACTATATTGTGTGAATGGTCGCGTTTAAGCTCTAATTATATAATTTATATTAAGCGTTTAAAATACGGATCCAAATTGGGTCTAGTAATATTTATGTCTAAAATTTATTGGGCATATTACTTGATATCCACTTACATCTGAAGTTATAATGTATTAAGTTTAAGCTACGTTGGCCATTATGAATAGTACCCGAGCGTGATTATAATTCGTCTAAGCGTAGTAAGTTGTGAATTATATCACTGATAGCGTTTATATAAAGTAGTAGAGATTAATAGGCACCTCTATCGCTTTTTATAAGAGAAACTAAGCAAGAATAGATCGTATAATATATAGTAAAAACTATAAGTAACTATATTATATTCTAATTGTCTAGAACTGGTAATCGC